AAATGATTTCTCCATGAGTTATCTAAATTTAAAGATTGCCAGGACTGTGGAAATGAACGTAAAATTCGTTTAATAAAAACTAATTACAATTTTGAAAATTGAAATAATTGACAAAATCTGCCATCAAGTATTGTATTTAAAACCCTAAAGTTTAATTAAGGGAAAAATATAAAACATACGGTTTTATTTTGGATCGACTCACAAGCTCATTTGGTAGATTATAACATGGGACTGAAATTAATTGAAATTTACAAATTGTTTATGAACCCGCCGGTTATGATTTGTGTAGTATTACATTTTGGAGCGTAATGATAGACATTTCAACAATAAAGGCGATGAAATTATAAAAAGAAATCAATATAATTACAGGAAAAAAGGCAGAAAGCTTTACTTTCCTTTTAAAGTAATGGAGATTGAGTTGCTAAATCTAGCAAAGAACTTTTAATTTATTGAATGTTGTATTATTAGGCCAATCATTTTTTATTTTCACTCAGTCCATATTATACATTTTACTTGAGCTTATTGATCTAAGTAAAAGCAAATTCAAATTTGAAAACTTAATTACGAAAATTCGTAGAAAATTGATAAGGAATTTATTTAGTTAATTAACTTTAAGGCCTATTCAGTGATTAGCGAATACTGAGCTCGCAAAATTGAAATATCGGAAAATTCTAGCAGATTGGGTAAAATGATTAAACAGTAAGTGTAGAGAAGTGTCAACAATAGTACAAAACCCTGGAAGGTAGCCGAAAATGAACGCAAAACGAAATGAAACAAGCCATTGAGAGATTAATCATGTTACAAATTACAGTGAATTTAACCCAAAAGCCATATCATTATGAAATAATTAAATATATATTTATCATTAATAAAATATTTGATCCAATTTATATTTGCACAAAGCCTAAAAATTCAGTGTTCAAGTTAGATTTGGGGTAAAATAACGCCAATAGTTAGATCGTCTCACAATTAATAAAATTTAGCGAATTGTATGTTTACGAGATTTGGAAAAAAGCAGACTTTAAACATTGACAGGATAAATATTATGTCAGTGTAATTTAAACTTAAATACCAGTTCAAAAATGTCAAATTCTTTTTAATTCGTTCTTTGGAAGCCACCATTAGGGGCATCTAAAATCATTTCAATTCGAAAATAAATTCATAAAGCACTATGATGATTATTTTGAAATAGGAAGCATTGTTATGAATGCATTACATTTTATTTACGTTTGAATGCCGCCGTTAAATATATAAAACATTTTTTAGGTCACTCACGGACTGCAAATTGTTATACAAAATGTGATTTTATTAGAAATTTTTTGAATTTAAAATAAAATATTTCGTTTCTGTCCCAAAATATTTATAACTCCGTTTATCTCGGGACTGCAACTAAAATATATTTATTTTTTGTAATTTCATTTGTTAAACAATACATTTTGTCATAAAATAAAAAAAAAGTAGTTCGAAAATAAACAATGGCGATTGGCTGCTAAAAATTTCTGATATTTAAGTTTTGGATTTTTAATTTAAAAACGGATCTCAAATCAGTATCTGGTAAAGAGAGGGTGTCTTGGAGACTCCCTTCAAATTAAGAAGCTACTCTTCCATAGCGTCTAAATAAAATCTTTTATAATGTTGCCTAATCTGCTCCAAAAATCCCTTTCTGTGTATGATAAACTTATTACGATTAATAAGGAGTTTTGAGAGGGTCATTTGTTTGGAGAAGTATCATGCATTTCTTTTTACAATAATTTTCATTATATGCCAATGATTGCTTAATGAATGAAGCCTTTACAATTTGACTTCAAGGTGGTTGCTTTGGAAAGAAAAAAAAGATGAGCGCCTTCAAGAGATTTAAGATGTTAAAAGGACTCCAGAAAGTTTCAATTACTTAATTCAGTGTAATGCACGTTTTATTGCTACTTGAATTCCCTATTTGGACCAATATTAGAGTATGAGGGGTGTGCGATAGACTTACCTCCGCGTAGTGCACCCTAGGCAACGCATACTCATACGGCAAAAAGTCTACAAACCGGCAATTGACTTCTAACCACCATGACCCCACTGTATGTCATATTTCACCACTTCCACAGTACTCGTCTCACTTTTAATTCTTCCTTTGTGTCTGTCTGTCTCTTTTACGTCTGTAAATCATTATTCAGCCTAAACTCTCGACTTTTATCACTTTGATGTTTCTTCTCCTCTCTGTGAAGCCCGAAGTCAGCTAAAGGGCTAATGCTAAATATCAAAACGTCTGTCATTTGAAATGAAAGATGAATATTAGATTATGCTATTTTGGAAGTACAATAAAAGTCTATCTAGACCGTTTTTATATTTTTTGATTTTGACTGTCAATTTCTCATTTAATTTGCGAAATCAAGAAGGTCAAGTATGAATGAACTTTGAATTTGGCAGATATAGTTAGTTTTCTAATCAGTTACAAACAGTTAATTATTGTAAAAAAAGAATTACTGACTATTTACATTGCCTGCTTCATTAACACATGAATATAATGCGGCTTTTCTTTTCAACTTCAATTTAGTTAGCGTTAAAAAGTAATCACTCTTGAGAAAGTTCTAGAAACAAATGTCTTCATAGTTTACCTTTATATTCATTTGAAAGTCCTGGTAAGTGTCTCTTTTCTTTCATTTAGCATAAACAAATAAAGGGAATGAAATTTCTATTATGATTAATGCTATATAAAGCCCCGAAGATGGCTAAAAGTAATTTAACAGACTTCAATTCATTTGAAGCAAAGGTTGGTTAATGTTTTTGGGTACATGATGGCTTAAAGTTAATAGGATCAATGCCAATCACTACCTTAAGGAAAAATATTTAGAGACTTGATGTCTAAGATTAATCCATAACCTGCTTTCTGTGCAGAATGTTCGAGTTGTCTTCAAATTAATTTGTTCTTAATTCGGAATATTAATAGTAATAAATAAAGCCAATCGCTTAAGTATACTTACAAATAAAATATTCACGCGCATTGAAAAAGTCAGAAATAGTACTCTTCAATTGTAAAATATCAAAAAATGTGATTCCTATTCGTCAAACTACACGCTTAGTAAAAGTCAGTGTGATGTACTTTCAAAACCATTTTTTATGTAGTATCGTGACTTTTGGAGCGAAAAGCTGCCATTTTCAATCCAATTTTTGCTGAAAAAGCTCTGAATTATGCAAATATAAATTTCTTCAGACAAAAGTAAGCATTTGTTGAAATTTAAATATGTGAATAAGTAGCAGGTGGAACAGGCTACAAATAATGATCTTAATATTCAATCCCAAAGACCAACCTTGTAAATTAGTCATATTTAAACCAAAAGTTCTTTTTCTTTGCCAAAATTGGAAATGATTTAATGCATGGTGAATTTCTGATTACAGCTAAGAAAAAAATAAATCATAACATTTCACTTCATTTTTCCTATAATATGAGACTGAATCAGCAAATAACTTTTGCAGATAAGCGAAAAGCCTACATAACGTCCTAATTGGGGGACATTAGTAAGGGGATTCAGTACTTATAATTATCTATTAGATATTTTCCCAATTTATCTACAAAGTAGACAAAATGAATGCAACAGGGTAACTTTTGGGATCTTTCTCTCGCCTCAGCCTTTAGTCATTTAAGGTGGCGGTAAAAAACAGCAAAGTTAACCTGACAATGGACACAAGCGGTAAGAAACAGGAGAGTGTGTTTCGACAAATTAATTTTAGATAAAAGCACCGTTCATCCCAACTATAAATTAATCTGAATTAAATGTGTCAAAACGTCATTTTAAGGAAATGTTGTTAATTAAAATGCATCACCTAAGCGCATAATCATGTGAAGTGCTTATAATTAGTGCATCAAATACAAATCTAATGCTTCAAAGTCGGACAAAAATGTGATTTAAGTTGAGAAATATAGTCGTTTTCCGACATAAACGTTTAGCAAAATTAAATTGCTTTATGCCATCTGGTGCTGAAAAGAAAAATGGTTGCATATATGCCTACAATGTCGTCCATTCAAACAGGTTAAGTAAATATTCCTCTAGGCCGACCCTGCAATCCATTCTCACGGTGTAAAGTGCTTGCATTAAAATGACTTTCATGCCGTGATTCTTTTTATTGCATAGAAGTTGAAATAAAATTTTGATAAAACTCCATCAGGTTTTGAGTGGGAATTTCCTGTTGCATTCTCAAGGTTTTATTTTCAAGTATTCACTGCTAAGTTTAAATAAATTTATGCGCACAAAATAAATGTTAGCATTTGATAACTTATATTAGCCCATTTAGTTAATTGAGCTTTGATAACTGATCAAATTTGACTATGATTAGAAAATTAAAGACCAATTTAAAGGAAAGTGGCATAAAAGTCTTGATTTATTTTGGCAATATCTTTAAATAAATTAGTCAAAAACCATAAAGGCAGAACCATTCTGCCAAAAACTTATTAATTCAAAGCAAATTTGGATAAATAAAAGAGCGACTTCGAATGCGTCTCCAAAAATTCGCAAAGGCAAAGAAAAGAGAAACTTCTTTCCTTTATATGTACCTGTAAGAAATTGCGTAAATTCTATTATAATGGCCCGTCTCAGCGTTTTTTTAAGAAATGCCTATTCATTATGACGTTTGAGTATTGTAAGAAGAGAATATTGAAATTAAACCGTATCTCTGTTCCCAATTCCAATTACAGTGTCAGAAATGTTAGCAAAACATGCTCATGGACTATTAATCGCACATTATGAATTAGGCGTCTTCCATTGCTAAAGACCTGGATACCGGCAACTATGAGAGGCTCAGAACTTAATTACTAGTCTTAAAAAGCTATCGCAACCGCTTCTTAGCTAATGGCAGAAACTTGTTAATCTATTTACCCCTCAAATTCAAACAAATCAATTCGAAATCTAACTCACTTTTCTTTAGCGTGTCAAAGGGTTTGTATGAATGATATTGCATTTAAGGTGCAATGGTCTAAACAAGAGTTTAAGCGTGGTATTTTTTTAAACTTCTATGTATCAAAATATGGGCTTGAAAATCTTGAAACTTAAAGAATATAACTGAAATAAAGAAAGTGGGAACATACCGACATATTGTCGAATGCCTATTACTCCAATGAAGAGGAACATGAGCACACCGGAGAATTGATAGTTGAGTCGATCGGCGAAGTCATCATCGAAGCGCAGACGGGAAGAGCCGATTCGTCCGAGTTTGCTGAGCTTCCAAATGAAGGTGGCGTCCATGGCGCTGTGGCCACCGCCACCGCCTAAGTGTCCCCCGCTCGTTGTTCCGCCGGTTGCCCCACCACCTGAGTGGTGGTGGTGGTGATGATGATTGTATCTGCTACTACTTCCGCTGTATCCGCCGCCTCCAAATCCACTACCGTCGTGACAGCCTCCGCTATGCGAATCTGAACCGTAGAAGGAAGAGTAGTAGTAGGGGTAGTAGTGACCGTTATTGATGTATCCACCAAAACGACGGTAGTCGCCTGCAAATAAGATGCAGCTGCATCTTATACTATCCTATTTAACTCTCTGCTCGATTTACTCACGTTCCTCTGTTGTTGCTATCTCTGGTTTGGGGGTTGGTTTTTGTAGGTACTCTGAAGTCACTTTTAACCCCAATGGATGCTTTCACAGTTTTTTTTGAAGCTTTCTGACCTTATGACATTGAATTTTGAGTCTGGCATAATTTAAAGTTGCTTTAACATTTACGCCTTAGTGACGTTAGGGGCGTAAATTTCAAAAACGAAAAGCACATGGCAATATATGAAAATTCAAGGATTATTCAGTGCCCTAATTTGATGCTTAGGTTGCGATAAATTTGTAAATATTTGACTCGAGTCAAATCTGGTGACAGAAACCTACTAGTATTAGCAGAAATTATTTTAATTTAACATTATTTTTACCCAAATACATTAGCAAAAACTATACAACTTTATAGATACTGTATTATTCATAAAACATACTCTTGGACGATCGGAAAAATTGAATGTTTCGAAATAAATTAGCATATTTAATTTTTGCTTCACTTACTTCCTGAATATGTTTGCATGCCGTGAATTCGATAATTTTATCATCATTTAACATTGGCACATTCTCTACAGTGAAAAACTAAATTCAGCAAAGCTATAAGTTAATTATTCGTGAAATGGTCAGTCTAAAGTGTACGAATCTACTCAATTTCTTGAAAATAAATCCCTTGAGATGTGCAAAATAGAACATTTAGAAAAAAACTAGCACCATCTTTCCTTTTTATGCAAATTTACAATCAATTGGAGTGTCACAGACAGAGATACAATAATTAAAACAAAAAACACACTTTCAGAACACCGCTCTTAAAATTTTTTGGTGGAGTTCTCATGATAAGGTGGAAGTGTGAATTATTAATTGGGAGTCTTCGGAATTCGAAATATGCCGCCTGAATGAATACAAATAAGCTGTGTTTAGCATGTATTGATAATAGTTTGAATCCAGATACCAGACTTAGTAAAGAAACTATAGCTACATTAGAAGAAAATTGAGTATTATTTTGTGAAAAAATCTTCAACAAACAGTTCCTATACTTCGCTAAAAATTTTAGGTTTAATTCAGCAAAAAGTAGAAAATGACTAAGATTGAAAAATAGCAATAAGAACTATGTACAAATTTTCTCGAGTTAATATGTAACTAAACATGTTAATGAGAAAGGGAGCCCATCAAATCCAGGTGCCTCTATAAGAGCCATCATTCAAGTAAATAATCATCCATTTGATGGGAGGTCGGACTAGCTATCGGATAATCATCTCCATTAACACAAAGCAGGATATTGCAAAATAAAAAATACTAGTATGGACCGCCTAGAGCAAAGCAATTTTCAAATTATGCCAATTCAATTAGTAACGCATCATTCAAATTTAGTGTTATTCTGTTAATGAAGATAGATCTAATGGAAAAAATTAGCTCTATTGCAGAATAAAAAGAAACCCTCATCCGTCTTGAAATCGAGCCAATGATAACAACTGAGTACATCTTTCTTTGATCACTGCACTTTGCACATTGCACTTATAAATTTTTTTACTGAACGTGAAAATTTTTAGCACTTCTTTCTCCCTTATTTAATTATATTGCTTATATTTAATTAGTTGTGCTATATTGCTCATATTAATCTATACAATTATGTGACACACAATGGTCTCTTCGGCAAATTTTACAGCACAAAAGTGTACTTGGAAATGTGCATACCATTGAAAATTATAGTGAATAAGTATTTAAAGTAAATTAAGGGATATTTGAAGGGAAGATAGGCATTAAAATCTATTTAAACCCATTTCCAATTTAGGTAAATCCGTTTAGGTAATTTGTGAGTTTGAACTAGGCGACAATTGTATTATTTACATTATTATGTATTGAGCAAAACTCCCTAGGGAAATGTTATAAAATTTTTTTGTACAAAAAATGATTTTAAACGTCACCTTTTCAGTACGATGGCATTTATTTTCGTTGTTATTGATTAATGAAAAGTAAATGGGAAGAAATTTAATCAGTTAATGAACAGAATTATTAAATCTGCCCACTGGATTTCTGATTTATTATCTTAAAGAAATTAGCAACTACAATCGAAATCAATTTAATAAATGATAGCTTTAATTCATCGGATTCATATTAGAGAGACATGTGCCATATAAATACCTTAAACAATGAAAAGCGAATATTTTTGACATCAGTCTTGAAAAGGAACACCAAGTATGATGTGAAAATGTTACAAGAGCTAAAATGAACATTCGAATTCTTGTGCGTAAATTTCACAACTGAATTACATTAGTCTCTAATGAATACCGCTGAACGTCTTTGAGTTTACTTTCCTCGATCAAAGTCATCCGATTTGACTGTCAAAACACCAATTTTGACAGTGAGAATTTCAGTGCATTAAATGAACTGGATTAAAATACCAAACCTTTAAAGTACAGATAATTTTATCATGATGCTGGGTAAGCATAAATAAAACGCACAATGACTTATTCATTAAAATAATAAAATTACAAAGCGTGTTTACTCAAGCTGGCCGTTTCAATAGTGAAACAACAAGAATAAATCAAATTCTAGTCATAAATGCACGGAGAGTTTTGGAAGAATTTGAAAACACAATTTGAATGAAATAAAAGCATCTCACGAATTGCTCAAAGTAGCTTGATATATAAACATAGCGTTTGTCAGAATGAAAGTGTCAAAATATATAAACTTGTTACTGAACAATACAATTTAGCTTTAATGATGAGGCTAAATTTAGGAGCAAGTAGAAAAATTGTTTCTTTCGGCAGAAAACGAAGTTCAAACTATTTTAAGCCAGACTCAACTTTGGCAAAATTAATTTTGCCGGAATTTTCGTGGTAATAAGGTGTCCTGAAGCTCAAAAAGCAAACTTAATTTATACAATCATGCTCTTTTTGTTCCAGTTGCAGCATTAAGTTCCACTGATGTCTTAATATTCCAACTAATTATAATGATAATGTATAATTTATTTCAAATATGGGTGGGCATAAACTAAGAATTGATAGCTCTTTTTATGAATAGAGTCTAAAGAAATTTATGATGATTTTAAAGACAATTAGCGTGAAACTGCTTTGATCTGGTAAGCAGTGGATTAGATTTTAATACTAACTACGAAATAAATTTAAAGAACTCTCAGTGAAAATTTTAGAAACACAAACAATTTTATCAATTTTCGATTATTTTTAATTGATTAAATGAAGTATTTGAAAAGAAAACCATTTTCTAGACTATTACGGTAAGGTATTTATTGAGCTATGCTATTATGACATTTCATAACACCGATGTGAGCGCATTATCTTTCCAAATCATTGGTAGGGTAAATTAAGCCATTTCACCAACCTCACATAATCCTCAAGGATATTGCCGGTAAAATGATAAAAATATTGAAATGTAAACAAAATTGAAGTTGAAAATTTTGACAAAAGGTTAAAAAAGTAAAAAAATCAGATATAAAATAGAACTTGTAAATTTCTCAGATTTAAAGAAAATTTGAATGAATGAAGAGACAATAATTATCTGCATTTTTCCTGAAACTAATTAAATTAATTTTTCAATATTTATCAGTGCAAAAATGTGAGTTTCTAATAATACTTTACGCCTTGTTGTGGAAGGCAGTGTTTTACTCTATTTGCTTAATTTTTCAAAAATGTCACTATCATATGACATTTGTTGGTGAATCATAAACGCTATACCACTTCCCCTGAAAACACTTCACCTCACATACGATTTGATTACCATTGCAATTAAAATGTCATTCACGGTTCATGTCAAGATATACTGCAGAACCACCTTCACAACTACGCGCAGATCAATAATATCTCCGATTTGGTAATTCTAATTAGATCATAAATCCAATTAATTAGTTACAACGTTAAATGTAAAATGAAAATTTGATCTAATTAACACACTCCCATTTATCTTAGTTGCACATGCATTTTAAAAGCAGGGGAAAAAAGATATATGATCAGGATATTAATCTTTTGAAAAAAATCCGAATTTAAAGTCATTCATAAACTAAAGTCAAGTCATAACTAACCTCGGGTCATCGCCTATTCATCCAGATTGATTGTTTTACTGGAAGAATATCTTTCTAAACGTTGTGGAATGTTTGAATAAGCATGCTTTTGACGAGCCGGATTTTAGATTGAGTAAATCGAAAAAATGCTTTGAATAGAACTTTGTCAATGAATTACTAAACCTCGCGAAATAAAGAATTAAATTTCACGTGGCAGAAAATAGCTACTTTGAACTCCCTTGAAATGCTCAGTTTCTGTTTCAGTTCTAGAAACGAATAAATGCGCTGGTTTAGAGGCAAAGCGTTAGCCAAAATTCAATTGCTTAAAAGGCAGACAACAATAGAGTGAGCTTAGGGGATTGCTTTGAGAGCTGCGGGTGATTGCATAAGAAGACAGAAAGTAAGAGTAGTTGCAGTTTGCGTCAAGTTAAGCAGTGGTTACGGCTTCCACCCTCTACCTCTCTTCAGTCCAACTCCATTCCTCCTCTTGCCTGGTACACCAATCATTAGCCCGCATTGGTCGGACCAATGGGAATTTTCAATCCATGTACGTGTGTTTTGTACACACTAAATTGGTTATGCCGACAGAAAAATAGTCATTGCCGGTATCAAACATATCACCCATCAATCCAGATTTTGTTTATTAGAGTGCCTGTTTGAATGTGAAATACATCTTTCCATTATTACAATAAAGACAAATTCGAAAGTTGTTTAAAACAAGCAACAAATCAAATGCATGAGAAAAAAATTAATCATTGGTAAATTAAAATTATACCTAGAAGATGCCCGAGTTTCTTGGAAAGGGTAAAACAAGTCTTGCCGAAAGTTGCTCATACAAATTAGCTTAAAATGATGATCAGAAGCCAAATAATTATATTTGCTTATGAGCGTAAGCTATAATTAGCAAGGCCTGGAATTCTGATAGAAGTTTTACTAAATAATACATTTTGTGGGGCTTCGGAAATTTTCTTTGTTAATTGCACCTCCCATGGGAAGTAAAATGCTTCATTAACCCTGTAATTATGAATAAAGGAGAACTCGACACGAAATTGTTTTAGTACTTTATTTGTTTAACTTGAACAAAATTTTTGACTATTTCATTGTTAAAATATTTATTATGTACTGACTAGGTTTGAATAAGTAATCGTTTATTTTAAAGGATAATTATTCCTATTTATTGAACTTGCTTTTCAATTTCTCCTTGGGAATTTACAACTTTTTGAATTTAACTACACATTTAATTTGCTGTCCAATTCAATCACTTTTCAAATTCGTCTTCCACTCTGAGTAAGTGCAAAGACCCGAAACGGTGATAATGAAATGGGAGTAAGTTCTGCAAATATGAGAAAATTGTTTTAACTTTCTAATTTAATTTCTCGACCTTTGAGCAGTCATTCAAGCTTTATGGAGAAGCTTTCGAACTGTCTTATTGATAAGATATCTCTTACCACCTAAATATACTTGGAATTCGGGTTTAAATGTCTTGTTTTATCAATTGTAATTTTCATCTTCAAGGAACGTTAACTGAGATTGAGCATAATAAAAGTGTCCAAAGGGTGAGCACTGGTGTGAGGTTGGAAGTTGAATGAATATCTGATTTAGCAATAAGTTAGAATTTTTCAATAGTTAGAGCTCAGTTTAGTTAAATCTATCATATCCCCTTGAACGTAAATGAAAAATTTTAAATATTAACAAAGCTGCCTATTTCTACTTAAAGTCCTATTTCAACGAATGAAGATATAAATAAATATAATATAAACCAATAAATAATATAATAAATATAAATAAAGATAATACTCCTCTGCTTAAATTAAAAGAATTTATAATTGAAGAGATTATGCTTTCAAATTAAAAATAAGATTTTTAATAAACCTTTATACTAAAATTTCGAAAAATTGGTTCAGTGGAGAGTGCTAGTTGTTGAGAGAGAAATTAGTATTTTGTCTTTCATTTAGCATATAAACTAATTACATATTAAAATCATATATATTAAAATTATGCAGATGTGCAAGACTGTTAATTTGTATTGTCGTAGTATCAATTTCTGAAGCTAAAACGATGAGGGCAAATACAGTTATGTGAAGACGGACGTCAATATGTTATAAAAGTTTGATTTTCGCGACCAAATGCAATGAAAGTAAAATCGTCTTAATTCAAACTTAGGCATTAACAACCGTAATCAAAAGTTTTAAACCATATAGAATAAGATTTCGGAAAAAGGTCTTTCAGAAGCGTTCATTACCAGTCACAAACGCAGTGGTATATTTTTTAAAATATCATAAGAGGCACTTATTCCTTCCCTGAAATTTGATTAAAAACTTTTAAAGAATAAAATTTTCTTTAAAAATGCACTTTATGGCCATTTTCGCGCGTTTGTTTTGAATACTATTTTCCATGGGAAACCTCATGGAATCCGGTATTTAAGGTCATAGGGCTATCAAATGCCACTGAAGCGATTCATTCATCGTTTTGGGATCTAAATACTTCATTGACCTATCTCTGTGTCTCAGTAAAATTACTTGAAATTAAAACGAAGTGTGCAAGATCTTTTGTTACACCAGTCTAATTAATTTAAATATAATTAATTAGATCCTACTAAGTGCCTATTAAATCATTTTTCTTATAGTCCGAAGAACTTAATTTTTTACATCCACTATAACTTTAACTAATTTTCTAACTTATTAACCTCTTGGAGTCAAACAAATCCATTTCTTTTTACGCTGAGCTTGTTAAATATTGTGAATTTTAATCAGTTGACTATTAGTCCATTTACAGTCAAATTTGGTGGGAGTCAAATTAGTCAAGTATAAATTTTAAAATTTTAAAGAGATTACCTATTTATATTTAAAATTCTAAATTTTCATTTAGAAACTCTTCTAATGATTGAGGTACTGATACGTTTAGCCCATCCATTTATCAGATTTGAAATAACGGGCATCATCAGATAGATTTTTAAATTTTCGTTTATGTTTCCATGAAGTATAGTAGGAATAAGGTTAATACCACGTATATTTAGACCAAAATGTCAGAACGTTAACGAAATATTAATAGTAATAATTTGTTAGTATGAATTGACGACAATTGATGCTTTTCATTAATGGAAATTTTTTAACTTAAGACAAGTGAATTAATTATTTTACCTAGTCATTTCAATGCATGTTTATGCTGAATTTGGTGTAACGCTTTAGCGTTTCAAATGAAAAAACATTGTAGAGAAATGGTGCTGACTTAATCATTAAAACTATCAATCTTTAATAAACAACACTTCTTCCTGTGGTATGACCAAAAGTTTGCTGTATCCACGTATCAATAAGATTTAGAAAACAAATATTTGAACTCTCTAGCCTTCATTACATTGAATTTAAATTTGGGAAAGTGAAAAATTACCATCCCATTTATGTTTTTGCGAGAAATGTATTTCAGAATGCTAATCAACCTGGACCTGCTTTGACACGATTATCTTATAAAGCGTTATTCCAATCCCTATCTCGTCAGTGATTCTCATTTTCTCATTTATATTTTCACATTTTTAATAAAAATAATGCACTAAATTGCAACTAAAATAATTGGCATTATGTTTGATGATGAAAATTCTTACAAACAGGACTGGTTCTACGGAAGTACACATGTCACAGCGGTTCTAACATGGTGATAAATCAGTTTAAAAATCTAACAGAAACATTTCCCACCATTACATATTTTTAGTATCCATTAGAGTGTGGTTCAATTTTAAAATTAAGCCTTTTCATTAGTTGTCATTGCCTAAGAAATAGCCAAAGTTTAAAGCTTTCTTATAAACCAAATGAATTATTCACCATTTAAATTGTGAGTTATTCTTAAATAGAGGTGTAGTTCATCTTTGCCTGAAAATAATTTAATTTCATGCACATCTTAAAACTACTTATCTTGACATCAAATTTCACGACACTTGCCAATTATAGATTTGCATTACATTTAATTAATGGTGATGAGTTATATCATGAGATTTGCCTTTTTAAAGTTCACAATATTTGAGAACGATTAATGTGGGTTTACAAACATAAACGCTGGATAATTAGTTAAACGTGTCAATATCATCGCCTTCTACTCATGCCAATTAAGGCCATACATATGGATGTTTTGAATGCCAACAGTGATTCAAGCTTTTGTTATTCACATCAAACTCATTTTAATTTTTTTAAAAAATTTGTAACTATTTACAAACAAATTCTAACCTGTGCCAATAGGTAATTTATCACTAAAGATTAACGAAATTTAGTTGAATTTATTGACTTGTTTAAAATGACAGTTTCTTAAAACCATAACGTATTGCCCCACATTAGTTTGCTGAAAATCTAAACTTAGTTGAAAATATGTGATAATGTGAGAGCATTACAACAATCCCAACAACTTCAATTAGTACATAATTTCGCGACAGATAAATAAAGATGCCAATTTTGTTTTATAAGAAGATTGGTATCTTTTTAACCTCCTGTTAATGTGCAAGATTCCTGTAAAGCTTTGCCTGAAATTTTGACTGAAATGATATACTACTTATATTAAAAAAGTAAAAGCGAGATCTTAAAATCAGATAAAGTGAAATTTAGAGTTCACTGTCTACAATTATACCAGAATATTCAAGTAAATCATCTCATATTTTACAGAGTAATTTATCAAATTGAGTTCATACTATTCAAAGAGGGAAGTGTGTCAATATACCGAGCACAATTAAAAACTATGTTTCAATATATAATTTCATTTCAGTTTTTTGTAAAAGTTTTCCCAGTCCTAATATCACTTGGAATAAACATATACATATACATATACACACACACACATATATATATATATATATATATGTGGGCGCATTGGCTTCATGTATGGTAATAAAAAGTTATATATTATTATTTTTTATTCTCTCAAGAAGTTTTTATTGGATTAAGAATATGTTCAAACAGCAACTCCATAATCGATTATATTAGAGCACTTAAGAGCTCATTATCGATTCATTTTAAAATAATTGAAGTCGTAAATATTGAATAAAAGGGTTGCAAAGGGGGTGGCTAAAAGTTCTACTAATCTGATAATGGAGACAAAATCACTGGACAAACAGCTAACAAGTAGATTTTTCAAGTATACGGTGGATTCGGACTGCTCAAATATCGATCTTTCATTATGAAATTCGATGGTCTTTATTGATTTACTATGAGAATATTTATTGGCCATTAAAATTAAAGCTTCTTAGCTAATATAATATCAATTTAATAGGCATTTAAGAAAAATCAAAATTCCACAATTTTAAAAACTAACTATTTCAGTTAATTATTTTCGAAGGTTTTTCTGTTTTAATATTCGAGTACCAACTGCGACTAATTCGATAAGTCATTTTGAGATTTCAATTAAGATTTTATATGAGGGATATCATTTGGAAAATTTTGTTAAGAAATGTTGAACATGCCTCACAGATTCATTTAAAGGATATTTTAAAATGCAGCTTCAATAATGTCTGATATTTAAAATGCCTTTAACGGTAACAACGACTAAAAAAGTTAATCAAATTTCTATCAGATTTTCAGAATTTTGTCAAATTTTCAAAAGAACTATGGTTAATTCAAATATTTCAAAACGTTTGATACTGATATCTGCAGTAATAAACAAGAAGTCAATCTTTATGGTCAAAATTACTAAAATTGCGAGCCTATCAACTGAGAAATTTTAATTTATATTCTTCAAAACATTCTGTCTTCTTATCAGGAAATAAGCTTAAAGTTACTCTCTGTTCTCGTTATTGGAGAAAGAATTATAGAAAAACAATAGATAAAGAGGCTATTTTTTAAATAGGTTTATTATTTAACTAAAGCTAAATTTACAAAAATTAGTTGCAAATGCCAAACTATCCTTTATTAACAACTAGAAAAAATTAAAAGCGATGAATAATGACAATTTGCACAATTATTTACTAATTTGATGAAACAATATCCATGATTCAAGGCCATTATATTCATTTCTATAAAGTTTAAAATTTCAATTAAATCAAATAAAAGCGTAACTTTTAATTTAGAGAAAATGGATTTTATATTAAATAGAGAGTTACTTAAATAATTTCAATATTTGACCACTTGAGCTGGCGTACGTCGTTGAGTAAAATAACTTTATTTTTTCTCTAAGGTTGGACGCTTTGCAATACTATATTCTAGGCACTTTGATATTTATTTAACACAAAACCAAAATTAAAAAATCAAATGACTGAATGCTTTTTTTTAATTTCTTCACTTAGTGTCAAACACTTACTTAATATCAACTTTTGGAAGAAAAAGGCACAGAAAAACCATCGGCATTAGTTTGGCTTATTTATTTAAAGAAGGGGAAATCGGACCTCTCCTATTTTGTGATAAAATCTTATTTTTAAAAAAAGGTGATTTATGACTAGGATTGGATCTAATTTTCCCCTTCTCGGTTTAATGACAAGTCGGTTTTTTAGCATAGTCGGACGATATACGCACGCATTTTTTGCTGAGAAGTAAGAACTAATGGTGACTATCGTTCCCATCAGATGCATCGTGACGTAGGAGTGGGGAAAATTGAGGAAGGGTGAGGGAGGCAGAGAAAGAGAGAACGAGAGAGCATGAACGTAACATCACTTGCGCTGAGCGCACCAATCACAAATAACTTTCACCTGAGTGGGTGCAAATCAACTTTTATTGATCGCCAGGAATCGCTCTCGTCAACCAATAGGCAGTTTCCTGCCAGTCTTAATGGTTGCTTAAGGTAGAGTTGTAGCGGTTGTAGAATTTCACTTCCGTTGAGTTTAATTGAATCTTTCTGGAAGGTGGAAACTAGGCAATCAGACTGTAATTTCAATGTGAATAATTTTATTTAAACACATTCCATCACCTTGACCTAACGATTGATTCCATGAAGAAGTGTTGACAAATAGCACAAAGCCTGCAAATAAGACCCATCTTAGGTAAAATAGATTTCCAAAATAGTCAAAAGGTCTTTGAAACAAAACGTGTAGAATGGTAGGTGGTAAAGACTTTGGTAGAAAATAAACTTCAAACTTTACAAATTCCAAGTATTATTTGAAATATATATATTTCGAATATGTATATGTTAACCATCTACACGCATTTCTCTCTTAGGACTATTTTGAATGCATATTTGTTACAAAATGATTAATTCACTGTGAGAATAGTTATGAAATGTTCAATTTGAAACAATGGTTAAAGTCCCATAGCTGCATATAGTTAAAAGAATTAGTTTTAAATTATATCAATGAACTTAATAGATGTATGATAGGTTATCTGGAGAGGACAACTTGGGGTGGGGGTGAGGAATATGAGGTTGAGATGGGATTTTATGACTCCTTTTTTACAATTGAGTTCTTCCTGCTCGGCACATCAATTCATTTGCATTCCCTACAATCTGGCCCATATCTCATGCAAGCAACATGCTAGCATTATAAGAGAGAAGTAGATGTTCGGAGAAGAGACGGAGAGAAGTGATGTTTGAGCAGAAAATGAAATGGGCAACATGTGAGGAACAGGATGGGATTTCAGAGCAGCATTCACATGCAGAGAAAAGGATATGCTTTTTATTTTCCCGCAGAGGACACTGGTTGATCCTAAGTGCAAATATCGTGCAATGTGGCGCTTTAAAGCGGCGAAACAAAATAAACAATTCTGAGAGACATTCTTGATTTGAGTAAGTTAGGAAAAAAAAGGAATAGAAGGAGGGGAAATATCATGGTCCCACGGAGTGTTTACACAACGGGGATTGGCTTATTTGTCTCGTGTTTCTTGTTTTTCTAAGAGGAAACTTCAAAAAATATACCTAACTAGTCACTTCTGTGTTTCTGTTTGAGAAGGGGAGGGGGTTTGACTCTATCACGAGAAGTCGTTTTGAATAAGAATAGGGAGAGGGATTGCATGAAGTCTATACAACACTAGAACCTCGATTAACCGTCTCTAGCAATCTATTAACATCCTCCTCAGTTCCAGTAATTTTTGCCTGTCGATAATTCTTCCACAGTGTAGCCGTTACGTCCAGCGCTATTAGATCACTTGCAATCTTTGAGACTATATGAAGTATGAAAATTCCATCTGCGCCGAGATTTTGATTGACGAACCTTGTGCAATCTCGTTCTTCTGTACTGGAAATCAGTCGGAGAGCTTTCAAGTACTGCTTGATGTAGTAGACTCGTCGTACGGGAAGCATGGTATTAATGGTCCATTGAAGGGTATTCATAATTGTCAGGGAGCAGAGTATGACGAACCAAAACCAGAGGAATATATAGATTTTCTCTACAAAATTGTTGATTGGAAGGACACATTGAAGGGAGTAGCTAAAATTGACGATAAAAAGAAACATCATAATATAATTTACTGTTGGCAAAGTAAAGAAAAATTGATATAAGATAAAATTATAGCCAAGGACCTTTAAATATTCTGAATATCTGATTCTAATAGTATCACCAAATTTTGTGAGCTTGAGAAGGAAGCATTAATCAATCTGAAATGATATGGCTAACGATTTATATTAATAATCTTCCAACACCATTAATAGGAAAATTTACTGATAATCACACAAAAAATCAAAGATATAAAAGCCGTATTTTAGATCAGAAAGATTAAACTACGCGTTCTTGCAAGCAAGGACTGCACTTTAAAGCCAGAAACAAAACAAACAAGATTCTTTTCGATACACTGATTGCTTAGAGCCAATGAGCTTTCAAAATTTTCACACCTAGATCATTTATTTTACCACATCTATTTAGATGATAATTTTTCATTCCATTTGTTTCGATGGGAATAAAAATAGTAGAAAACATTAAATTACTGGGAAATTGTGTTCAAATTTATTGAGATTTCTAGTTTATGCAAAGTATTAATTATTAAAAATTTATATCTGTTTGCTTAGAAACCAAAGTTAAATAATGTTGGCTGTTACTCAAATAGATGCTTTCAATTACTTCCATAAACTGTTAAACGCCCCATATGAAATGCATTTTCAGATTTTTCATTCCATAACTCCATATTTTATTTAAGTCAATGACGTAAGCATGATTAGTGGGTTTAATCTAACACTCTTTTTGATCTGAGCTTCATTTAAGTGCAGACATTGGAAAAAACTGGAGGGATTTCAGCAAAATGTCTACTTATATTCTAATCTTCATAACGTATGTCATATTTGTTCCTATTTGCCTTTTATCATTCAACTGAAACTACGTGTGGTAATTTTACCCTTACATCTTTATATTTTGGCACGATCTGTTCACGATCACTGCTGGTGGTAGTTCCTAAATGTATATTTTATATTTGTCCTATCAGGGGTGTGCGATAGACTAACCTCCACGTGGTGCACCCTGGGCAAGGTATATTCATACGGCAAAAAAGTCTATTAACTGGCAGTTGGCTTCTGACTTCAAACTACCATGACCCCACTATATGTCATATTCAACCCCTTCTACAGTACTCACCTAGCCTTTTCTCAGCCTTTGTGTCTGTCTCCCTCTTTTACATCTGTAAATCGCTCTTTTGTTCCCCACTCCTCGACTTTCTTCTACTTTGATGAACCTCCCCTCTGTGAAGCCCGAAGTCAGCTTAATGGGTAATGATAGCTATCAAAACGCCTGCCATTTGAAATAAATAAATATTTGTCCTATCAGTAATTCAAGGGAAAATTCTAACTCCATAAATCTAAATAAACATAAAATAAAAAATATGTATATGCATGACAATTTACTTAAAAATTTTAATATTATAAGCAAAATATGTCGTCCAAGTTGACGAATTAACAGGTCGTTTGACTACAATTGAAACACTATCTTATGAAAGGTCAAAGCATATTCAAATCGTGGTTCGCCATAAGAGCAATTTGTGCGGAAACTACTGATAATATTTACACATTGAAAAAAAAACATTTATAAAATTAAAGTTTCAATTAAAATTCACTTTGCAGCATGGAAAGTAAATGCAGCTAACTAACATCCTTGAATCAAACGAATTTTAGCCGTTCCAAACAACTTTTTTTTAAAACTTTAGCACGATCTGCTGAGATGCAGTACGCATTTTCCAGGCATATTTAATCATTTTAGCCTGCAAGTAGAAACAAATGGATTCAATTATTTTAATATGGATTATAGTTCAATGAACTTTTCAGATCGTCACACGTAACCACCACGAAATACCCAGGGCACAAATTATGCGAGTTAAAGTGAGAAACATTCTGACAATGTTTAGTTACGTTGACTCCTGTTCCAACCGTTTCCAGTCTGTCCAGATATTGTATTAATTTCATTTCTATCGCAGAATTAAAACATGCGTTATTTATCCTAAAGGGCTGAATTAACAAAGGAAGCCAGAATACCAAAATAGGTGAAAGAGAAGAAAATTGAAACTGCAATTTAGGTGGGAATGATGATAAAGAAGCAGGTGGAAATTAGATTTTGTTTCCCAGACATCTATGGCGAAATCAAGTCTTCTGACTAAGGCCTACCGCAATCCATTGGGAAATTGATACTTCTTACACTTTCTATATTCCACTCATTTCTGCAAGAAAAAAGACAAGATTTGTATTTTAAGTTGTACAGCGAAGCTAATTTAAACAAACGCGTACATAGATATTTAACTTTATATTGGGTTTAAAAATTTTGACTGGGTGTAAAGACTTATTTCCAGGCTCTGTTTGTCTTGTACAAAATCCCCCCCTCCAAGCCCACTGTCAACGTTTGTGTTGTTAAAGGGAAAAATATGTTTAACCTCCATACAAAGTGATCTCTGAATTTTAGTTTAAAAAAGGCATAACATTTGTTGGTAGAACTTTTGCCTACATTCCACTGGATTTGTTGAAAAGTGATCAAAGTAACGTGAATTAAAACTAAAAAGCCTTTTATTAAAGAGCATTTAAAGTGACTTTTTAATTAAACCTTGAAAAATCTCATTTAAATCAATACAAATTGAGATTTGGGTAACCAATCGACACACCGGCATCAATATCGAATTGTATTTCATTTATTTCCTGTTTAAATTGTCTCTTAGATTAAAAGTGCAAATTGCAGGTTTGAAGTTTATTTCGTCGCTTAAAAGCCGCATTAAAGCTAAATTGGGAAGGAAAAATGACGGTGACCCCAAATCTGATTGCCTGAAGGTCAGTAAAATATTGTGGTAAAAGCTTTCACTATTTTAAAACACTCTCCGCAGTTTAAAACCAGAAAATCTACAAAACCATACTTGATTTCATTTATTTTCCACTTTAATTGAGTGATTTTGGAAGCATGATTTTAATAACTGGGAAATTCGGACATAAAACCTTCTCATTCATGCAATATTAAATCTGCAAGAGTTATGAAACCTGCAACTCGACTTCAGTGCAGTAATTTTATTTTTTGAACGAACACTTGATTAGTTTTTAAATCAATTTAAATAAAGATCGTAGCCTTCAATATGATCTCTCTGAGTCAAAATTTTGGTATATTTTGGAACTTCAATAATGAGATAATTATATTTATATCCTCAATCTTGATTGGAGCTTATCTAAGATTGATGAAAACGTTTGGTTAGACATTAAACTTAAAGGCAATTTGAATAGCTGGCTTCATCTGCATTCGCTTCAACTTGCATTTTGTAGTCATACTGAGAGTAAATGAAAGAATATGCAAAATTAAACTAAATCAAACGAATGTGTACTTATGGGCATATTTAAGTATGCATATTGGGATCATTCTAAACGAATATTTTAGTAGAACATAATGAAGCAAAGGTATTGCCAAGTTCTTAAAAAAATCCTTAGGGTATCAGTTTAGTCAGCCTGTGAACATATTCGCAGAGTAAATAAATTCCCATAAATTATTATAGAATTGGTAACCCTTATTTTCAACAGTGCATGACTTGTCATTCACATTTCAGTATTTCGGTCATTAATATGATTGCCCAAGACAAGAAGTAGCTCTAGCGTAGGGGATCATGCTTTGGAAGGGGAAGATTGAGTAGCCATGCTTCCCTCCACAGATACATCAACTTAGCTATTTCTTGAAAAATTCAAGATAGAGGAGATTGCAGAACGTTTTCCGTAAAATAATGACAAGAGCAACAGCAAAATATAAATCTAGTTAAAATCTTGATTTAGTAAGAAACTCGCAAATCGTGAGCTTGGTAACAGAGGAACTCATTAAAAATATGGTGAGATAAATGGCATTTATCATTATATGAATAAGACCAAGTCACTTGCTAAAAATAGATAAGCAAGTCGATTTGAACGTTCAAAATTATTATGAAAGGTCGAAATAACGCAAACCAGCAGACTAAGCCTTGAATGAGTTCACCAAGATCAAATTTTCATCTAATAACAGTCAAAAATAATAATCACAAAGTACGTATATGTATCAACGGAGGCACATTAATCATTTGTACGCAGTTCCAACCACATCAAGGAAAGAAATTTATTAATCATTGCCATATAATCTCAAGGCAATTAAGTAGTTTTCTTTTAACGTCGCTTCTGAATGCTCCTAGCAATGAGACTATTTTGATAGTCGTTGAATGCGATGCTAGGTATTGATTTAATCTACCTCTTTAGTGGACGAATCGCCCGCCCCCCGCAACCCACTTCCCCTCCACACTATTACCTACCAATCTCACCTTTACACTGAACGTATTGGCAGATCTCAATCTATACCAGGTATCAATAAATACTTCCAGAATTCATTTTCATTACCTCATTCACTTGGTGGGAGACACCAAGCTGGAATCGAGAGACCAACTTTTAAGCAAAATTGAAAAAACATTATTTAAGGAAATATGTTTATCAATGGAGCCCTGTTGCTTCTATCTCAAATACTTCAATCCCTTGATTAAAATGCTTGGAAGTTTTGAGCCAAATTCAAAATATTCTAAATGTAGACATTTTATAAATAACTATTTAATATTTCTTTTAAATTTAAAGCAAACAAATATACTCGTCAAATCAATTTTTAAATGCTAATTGCTCTAATATCCTTATTTTATACAAAACTTGTTAAATACTTAATTATTTCATGCATTAAGTGAAGTTGGTCTTTTGCGGAAATTCTTCGCCATTTTAAGTGTAAGTTTTTATATTTACGGAGATTTAAAAATGCTATTATGCAATCGAAATTGGAAGGCAAATGGCGACATAATGGAAATCTTGAAATTGTAGATGATGAACACAAGTAAAATGAGTTTGAACAGTATATCAACTTAGTAACCAATTTATATTATCATTTATTAGAGCTTTTCAAGCCAATTTCAGCATTGTTAGACCGTTTATTTGTTTTACTAATTAAACACCTTCAAGTATGATATGTTTATAAGTTTTCTTGAAGAC